AAACAACAATGTAGGCATAGACGATGGGGAAATTTGACATTGCCAATGGACACAGGCCCACCCGCAATTCAATATTACAAAAAATATTACAAGTGCATTACTGCCAAAGTTTTTTTTGCATTTTTAAATTGGTCATATATTTTCAATAATATTTCTGTAACATTATATATACCGATGCACAATTTTCCCACCGTACTGAATGGCAGTAGGTATTTATTTGCTGTTACTTCGTTAATATCAGAGAAGTAAGATCTTGCTCATCTGTGTTAGTAGGAAGTGATACCATTGAGAGGGCTTGAAGGCACTAAGCCCATGTCAAAAGGGTGGTTGGTACAATATCCATTCATAAACAACAATTATTTAAAGAGTTGTTAGTAAAATCTCTGGTATACTATACTTATATATACACTTCCATATCAGCTTTTCAGAGGCGAACTCTAAACTAAACATGTCAAGGAAGGCATCTGACAGAAAAATAACCGTTTTCATCAAATGCAGCTCTTAAATTAGTTTTTTAAGAAATAGTTTATTCAGCTTATTAAGTGCAACGCAATATTTAAAAAGTCATATCTTCCGTTAGAGTTTTTAGCGCAAACCCGACTTTAGAGAGGAATACAGTAGTTAGGACAAACGCAAAAGAACAAACCTCTTTCAAAACTGATAATAAACTAGTGACCTCAGAACAGAAGATGCCACGCCTCGTGGCGAAATGCGCACCAGGAAACTAATACACCTCAAGAACTAAAGGCAACTACAAAACAAAGGTAATTTAAACCTCTTTAGAATGATCTTGAGATCTTGGAAATCAAAATATGTCCAGAATATCCAAAAGACCGAAAACGTTTTCTAAAGAGCTGAGTTTGATGCAGTCTGCACTTCTAAGCCCATCATCGACGGCTACGAGACAGTGAAAGCAGCGCATTCAACAATTGGCCACGGTGTAAAGATAGTCATACTGTCCTACTTGTGGTCTCCAGTCTGCCAAAAATATCTCCATTGTCGACCCCCAGCTAAGCGGAGTCTATTGATCGATCAAGTTTTCAACTTTTTACCCCTTTATATGCTTCAAACTTTACCAGGTCTACTATACACCACTTTTAAAACTACGGTATAGTCAGAAGTTTACTTATTTCCCTTGTCAGTCCAATTTTTGTTTGCGGATTTTTTAAGACTCTTTTTGAAAGTTTTCGCTTTTCCACTAAAAAATGTGTAAAATTACGAAATTACTTTTAAACAAAAAGGGAGGCTTCCACAGGCAAAGTAGACAGAAGAATCTTGGTCAATGAACTGGAGAAAATACTGTATTGGTAAATTTTCCTTTTTACAACTCATCCGACAGTGCCTATAACAGCAGTAATCCTGATAGTTAGTACTTCCGATTGGCAATATATCTTTGGGAAAGAAAGATCAGTACCAGGGGACTCACAGCTTTTTGTACAGTTTCTAGGGATACTGGGGCTTTGGGGGGAGCGAGTTGGTCTAGTGGTTAGAGCGTGGGACTTCGGTTCCAGAGGTCCCGGGTTCAAATCCCGTCAAATCACCAATGGATGTTATCTATGTGATAATGCCGCAACCCCTAGGTCTAGCCTGAAGTAATGTGAAAAACAATTCTGGGTTCGTGCCTAGCTTCCTAAAAAAAGAAAAAAAAACTGGGGCTTGGGGAGTGAATGTGAAAAACAAAATTAGTAAGAATGGAAGAAGTCAATGGCGTGACCAGAAATCATTTGGTGATTAATGAGAAAGTTTTAACTTATAGATTGACGTGTGATTCTCTCGCTTCAATTGCCTTTGCAAAGCGATCCACGCAGGGATAATCATGATTTAAATTCAAATTAGTACAGCAATACTAAAAAGCATTTACCAGAAAATGTTTATACCCTAAAACAATGTCGGTGGGATAATGAACACAAAACACATTTTACTGCTAATGGCTTCATGCCGAAAGGTGAATGTAGAGTCCATTGCACGATTGCATTATTGCACACCTGGGCCCTGCCTACCCTGCAATCTACAATCTGCAAGCGAGTCGCAATATATCGCAAAATACGGCCTAACGCAACGACCTTGCTGCCCCGCCCAAGCTAGCTGCTGAACGCTCAACCAATCCAATTGGAGCCAGATTGAAACTCGCTTCCGTTCCCGTAATGTGGTTCCGAAGGTGAGGGATTTCTCACCACACCTACCACCTGTTGCGTTCTCGCTAGAAGATGTAGAGTAATAACTGCTATTAGTGGTTCAAACTATAATAACGAATCTCAAGCGGAAATTTTGAGTTCAAAGTGTAGAGGAGCTGAGAAATGGTATTAGAGGAGAACCCAATTGCCAAAGAGACTACATGCGGGCACGATTTGACAAGTATTCTTTGCCATCGAGCATTTCCGAGCACAACCTCTCCGAAGCTGATAATAAGGACTGATTGCATACTAGACAACTTTGCAGCTCTATGAAAGCCTGCAGTGCTAAAATTGGCGTAAGGTTGGGTTATATTTTACCCGGGTAGAGAGGATTAACAAGTGTTTCAATACATGCTTAATAAGTAGATCCTTCTGTCACCATCGCCATTAGGAGTTTTGACCACTTTGTGCCCAGCCGTGTAATCAAACAATTTTTTTAAGAGCTACTATAAACATGTACCACATGACAAATTAATCTGTAACATTTCATTCAGTAACAGTTCAAGAAGAATATGTTCCAATCGGTTGCAACTTGCCAGGTAAAGCATCTTCGACGTTAGTGGCACTTGCAATCATGGTACCGCTTGCAAAATTTTGCTTATTTTAATCACCGCAGAAAACTCATAAGTAACCATGAGTGAGTAGGAAGGTCAACGAAGTACATGAATTAGATGAATCGAATCCCCTTGCATGTAACCTACTCTGAGAACAGGGAATCCCTTTCATACTTAGAAACATCTAGCAAAGTTAATCCGTTGTTAAATTAATTTGTTCGCTAATTGACTCCGTTGTTGCAAGGAATGTTTAATTCATTCAGCAATCCTTCGCAAGCCTCAAGGTCACAAGCAGGACGCAGAACGCGAGGACGTGTGATGGGAAATTGCAGCCTGTCAGATCTGCATAACAAAATAAACAGGGAGAATCCGTGCGAAACCTACAATTAGCATACAATCGATTGACCTTGACTTTGCCGCCAAAAACAAGACGTAGGATACGCGGATTACACAGTAAACAATCACGAATCCGCGAAAGAACAGGGTAATTTGCGGCGAAGAAGCCGGCGTAGAAAAACACCTGTTGGGAAGATGTAGACCTTGACATTGGATGAGGCGTAGGTCGACGGTCGAATGGTGAAGATATGATTTGAGTTGAGGTTTGTCAGTACATTACGTTACTGATGTGCCTTTTGTTCTTCGTTTTGATAAGGTATAGCAAATGGAAGATGGGAAAAGGACCATTCATTGTGTTTTCATCTGCACATCAACGATAGACCAAGTCACCAGGAAAGTTTCTTCTCAATTTTTTAAATGAGATGAAAATAAAAGATGGAAAGAGATTATTCAATATGAGTTTCTGTCTGCACATTAGATTACTGTATGAACTTATTTCCTTAGTTTTACAAAGGGGTGGAAATGGGAAGGTTTAAGATGGGATGACTTGTTAAATGTTCGTACATATTACTGCATAAACTGATCTTCTCAGTTTACGAAGCGAAGGGGAGGAAAACGTAAGATGGAAAATACAAGATTCGTGTAAAGTTTTTGTCTGCACATTAACTTACTGTTGTCATTTTTGTCATTAGTTTTGAGAAGGTCAGAATGTGAAGATGGAAAATGCGATGGTTCGTGTTGAGTTTTGAACTACATTTCACATATTGACGACGGAGCACAGTAACTGTTTAAGAAGGGTATTAAAACGGAAGGCGGAAAAGAGATGATTAGATTACTGTACAGTCGTTTACTACTCATTACTTTAAAACACAGAACTTTCGTTCTACATTTAGGAAACCCAGCATATGTAAGTGCGAATGACACAGTATTGAGGGATATTTGAAAACACGCTACAAATTTCTTACTTCAAAAATTAAAGCCATTTTTTTACCGTTTATTCAAGTAATTAATACTGTAGGTTTCATTGGCAGGTATATGAGTTTATCATATTGTACATTAAAACGATTTTTTGACTTTTTGGAATAGAATATCTATTTTATTGATTTGAAACTATACTACAAAATTATAAATTAACACAATACATTTCAATGGATCTCTAGTAATAATTCGTATCTAAAGCCATCAATGTTTAACCATAATTCCACTTATGCATTCCTCATTAGTTTTCAAAATAGCTGAAGCAAGAAGCGGCGAGTGAGGAACCAGAATTACTCACACTTCGTTGGCTGAATCGCATGAAGAAACATGAGGAATTTAGAGAAATCCGTATTATAATCGTGCTACATATTCACCAATAATCCAATTTAATTTATTCAAAGATGCCTCTTTCTAGTTTTCACTAAATCCAGACCACATATTGATGTTTTATTTATTTAGCAAAATTTGTCAATCGATGAAATTCCAAAACTGCGCTATATCCCATAAAACTCGCTGACCATTGGTATTCACGTCAGTGTGGCGGTTGTGGTATGTAATACATATTCTACATTGGCTTAAAGTATGTTCCTGCTGACGAACCTTAGAACACTTTCATCGATAGAAATGACCGCTCCAACAACAGCAATAGGTGGCATGCAGTTTTCCGTAACTCCTGTAAGTGGACTGAGTAAAACGAGTTCGTGCTTATATTTGTGAAACAAATGGAAATACAGGTAAGAGTACGTCCGGGAGCAGTAATAAGATTTTGAAAGTGAACCCCAAACTGCGAGGAATAGTAAACAACTATCCACCAGCTGGGCCAACTCAACTCCACTATAGTGCTTTTCTTGGATTAAAGAAATGAGAGCTCCATTTGGTTCTGTAGAGACAGGGCCACAGTTATAATTTAGTTTTGTATGTGCTATTTTACTTTACGCCCTACGTTGTTAGCATTTACCTGCATCTACGATGTGCTGAAGCGTTGGAAAGCGTTTTTTCACACGCACACTGACGTGTTTCAGCGTAATGACGTAAGCCAGGATGGCGTAGCGGACGATGTTACGTCGCATCAGTCTACCTCGTTCGTCCTGAAACGCATAAACGCATACAGTAACACATAAAATACATCTACGCATACATAACAATAAAGAACATTTGGACCTTTCTCGTTAAGGACTACAAGTAATTGTAGCCTATGTTGTAAGTTCTATAACATAACCTAACCTAACCGAACCCAACCTAAAAAAAAACTAAAGGTAAACAAGATTATAGATACAAATAACCTGAAAAAAAACAAAGTTGCGCTGTGGTCCTATAACGGAAAAGGGCTAGAATAACGTATCGATTAACATTTTCACTATGTGGTAAAAGTGTTTCAAAACTTTCCAAAACGTAGAAACAAATTCTGTAAATATTGAGAGGACGTTATCTAGGAATGTCCATTTAAATATCTACTTTTATTACATTGGGTGACTTTTAAAGAATATTTTTCCGCGTAAGAAACATACGTAATATCATACGTAGTTTAATGTTAACATTGAAATTAATCCTTGAATTTCAGAAACAAATTACCACAAATGTAATAAACTAGTGTGACAATGAACAGACTATTATTTTTTCCAAAAGATCTGTTTTTGCTTTTCATTGTGGTCTACAAAAATCAATTTGAACCCTTTTCAAGGCCTTGATAGAAGTTTGAAACATAGAACGCATTTAAAATCAAATTAAATTGAGGCAAGAAGATAGTTAACACTTAACCGCCACCACTTTCTTATAATAACATGATTTTATTTTATTTAAATGTTTTCAACTCCATTTGGATTTCCTGTTTTTTTTTTTAGGTAAATGCCCAAAATATGACATAACACTTTTGGCATTGTTTTCTGTCAGAATATTTTGCAATTCCTACAGGAAAGCAGACAGGATGTCTTGGATGAATTTGATACGTTTTACACTCTAAGAAAGTGTCAAGAAAAATAAAATCACCATGCTATTAGGGGTTATTAAATTAGTAAAAGCTATTATATTACTACATTTCTGATTTAATAGTAGTAGCCTATAGTGTAGCTGATGAGTCATTCCTACTTTTTACCGTGGCGCCCCATGAAACAATAGCTTATTATGGCGCAGTTCATCAAAAATGCCATAAACTAAAATCACGTCATCAGTCAATCAACATACCGATTCGGTAGCGAAACAACAGGTAGTTAAAGGTAAGCAAATATGTATGATAAGATAAGCTCGCCCTGAATAATTGTCAAAATTTATTGTTGGAGATAAGTTTAAGTATATCGTTTAAAATAACTAATGAGAAAATTGACGGTGTGTATTATTGCTCATTGAATAAGCTGTATAGATTTGAATTATGTTTATACCGAAACAATTAATGGTGTATATGATATAATAATGATGTGCTGTATTGAAATTGACTAACAATTGATTACCGGTACTTAAAAATAAATCTTTATAAACTCTTAAGTTATACACTAAGTCGTTATTTTACGAACCATTAATCGTAAAATATATAAAAGATTTAAGGGAAAATACAGAAATACAGTGTTTTCAAATGAATACTTTTAGCGGTATACATAAATATCTACGATTTCATATTTGCACAGGATATTATATTCAACGCAAAGTTAATTTTATTAAAGTTTTCTATACCTCACTACTCCAAACAAAAACTCAAGTGATTTGTTAATTTCACATTCTCATTCGTATTTGTTTTTTCATTCGATTTTGTTGATTTCACATTCTCGATTACTACTATTATACTTTAAGATTATTTTAGTTTGTTGGATTATTTGTTTATGTTTTTTTTATAAAAGGTATAATGTTACCTGGATCTGCCAGAGTAATCTAAAGGCTGTCTGTCGAGACTACGCGTTTCGAAGCAATATAAGCTTCATCTTCAGGTCCTCAAGAACCAACGACGTTTCACTCATCAGAGTTTTTTTGCTGTTTTTAGAAAACGATACAATATTTCTAAATCATAAAAACATTTCAACTCACAACCCAGTGTTGGCAATATACAAGACTGTGCTAAAGCACGTTTTAACCTCATTGTTGTTAAAGTAAAACAATTTGCCACAAATGTTTACAAGTGACCCAAGGACACCGCTTTCCGTTATCGGTAACTTTCATCACTGGAGGTGTAGTCAAATGAGTGTTTTGCACCTTAGCCTAGATTTGAACGGAACTGTAAAACAATAAAAGTTATTGGTATTTGTTATTTATTTATTGGTTTATCCATTACAACGGTAAGATCACCAATTTACAACTTGGATACATAATGACCAAGTGGTAACAGCATGCGTGTTATTAGAAAACTTAAAGATAAACTGATTCTAACATTTCAAAAGCAACATCAGTGACAGAAAACCTTAATCTAAACACGACTAGAGCAACAATTCAACAATGAAATACAATAACGATGGTGAAATCCTATGACTACAGTAACAATAGGCGACTCTACCGATACTATGCTAAATTAGTAAAGTAGAAACAGAGATGTAATTGATCATTATAACGGAAAATAGGTTTAAATCACGTAGATTGTCATCAATGTTGCTCGATTAAAAAGTATAGTTACTGAAATTACATTAAAATCAATGACAAAGTCAATGAATATCAAAAATGAATGTTTCTCGTCAGAATCTAAGAATCGATAGTTTATTATCTGCACTGTCTTAAAAAAAAACCGGCATCGTTGTCAAATAACATACGAAAAACCATAGGATATAAATTAAAACAATTTATCTTAGCTTCAAAATGCCATTATTTTAGGAATTGCTAAACCCAAATCTAATTAAAAAAATACCCCCGCCGCAGCAAACCTGCCGACTAAGCGAATTTCCATTTGTCTGAATTGATTTTCAATTAAATATATTTTAATAACATTAGGTTTAACGAGTACCTACGTTTGCTGCTACAAGGAAACTAATAAAGAGTGTTTTTTAGTAAAATATTGATAGCTTAGTACAAAATAAATAAATTTGCCAAGTTTGATCAAAATGTATCCATAAACAAGCAAACTACAACATTTGACAATATTCTCCATAAGAATAACATGGGAATTTTAAATTTAATTTTTTTTATTTTCTCCGTTACTAATAACCAAACAAAAATACTTTTATATACTAAATTATTTGTTTTTTTTAAGCTCTTTAAAAAGGTCTAAAGAGAAACTGCGAAATGTTGTGTTTTGACGGTCAAAAGTGAGAAAAACCAATTTTTACCCCATAAAACACCCCGTAAAGCCCCGTTCCCATGGTCCGATCATGCTGGTTCGCGAACTCATTCAAGTTTATCCCGCTTAACACCTTTAAACCAAATTTAATCAAAATCGGGCAAAAATTACTCAAGTTATCGCGTTCACGGACGTATATATATATATATATATATATATATATATATATATATATATATGTCTATATATATATATACATATATATAAATTTGAACGAATGGTGTTTTTGGCCTCTGGGGGCATCAAAATGAAAAAATAAATCGGTCCCGGGTCTAGGTCTTACCGTGCCACCTACGGTAATAGCTACTTCCCTATAGGGAAATTCGCTAATAAGGGAAACCTTAGAGATAAAATTGAACTACTTATTTATTTGCATACAGCAGACAGTGGTACACTCATAATACTGAAATTATTGACGTATATTTTGTAAAAATCTAGCACTGTAGATATTGAAATAAGCTTAGAAAACGATGAAATTTTTGGGGTTTCCCTGACATTACCGTAAAACTGTTTTGTGGTGAGATGTTCGGTACAAATGTATTCTTATGTCTCTCTGTAGACAAGTTCGACACAAAACCTGTCGCAGCATCTCATAACCGACATGTCGCAACAATGCCCTAAATGTACAAACACGACTGAGAACGACCTGACAATCGGTCCAGCAACTTACACAGCTCTTCCCGGTAAACAATGTTTGTAAGTTTAGTAGAACAATTAATTGTCATAGTATTCAGCAAGATCATGGTGACCACGGCCCTGGATCACTGCAAAATTTGAATCCTGTTGTACCGTAATATTTTGTTGGGTTTTTAAACGCTTTCCCCCCTACTTCTGAGAATACGTTTTATCAAATCAAATCAAATTAAAATTCGTCTCTTCTGATCCTTGTGGACAACTAAATAATGTAAAATCGAGAACAAATAAATACGAGTTTTAATCTATCGCCGAGTTTATAGTTTTCATTACAAGCATTTTGTGTCATTTTACTGATTTTGTTTAAATACTTTGGTTTCATTAGTGTTTGGAATAATTTCTTCAAAATAAAAAGGTACAAAATAACCCAAGACTAGCTGTAACGTTGTACAAAACTGACATTGTATAAAAAAAAAAATACAAACAACCGCACTCGAAATAGCCAAAGTAACGTAGACGTGAACAACAACCAAACAATTAGGTGGTACAAATAGTTAAAATTATTGCAAAATTGTACACGATTTTTATCATTACCAATGAGGAATTAAAACAAAAAAATATGAACCTAAAGAATTTAAAAAGCGATCATATGTATAGTCTGATACGCAATGGCGTATGTTTTATCTCTGGTAATAATAAAATGTCTCTTTAGATCTTACAAAAAACCACTAAGTGGTAACACTTTCCCCGCCAAGTCAGCAATCCAAAAAAGATAATAAATCATTACTTTTTCCGCCAAGAAAAACAATGTAATGTATGCAAGTTTGGCAACTTGGCGGCAGACTTTTGCTTAGTTTTTTTTTCATTAGTTACGTTCGTGGATAATTTCACAAATCAACTTCTCTAATTAATTAGTCCAACTAAGTATAATAATTTCAAGGTAATCAGCAACACCTAATGAATGCATTTATGTAAAATAAGCTCTCACTTAGCAATGTACTAATGGGAGAGATACTTGCTCAATGAAACTAGTTTTATGGTATTTTTTTAAGTGATCGAGCAAAAGTCTGCCACCAAGTTGCCAAACTTGCATACATTACATTGTTTTTCTTGGCGGAAAAAGTAATGATTTATTATCTTTTTTGGATTGCTGACTTGGCGGGGAAAGTGTTACCACTTAGTGGTTTTTTGTAAGATTTTATTTAT